AAAGTGTAGAATATGCTTTGAAGTCCTTGCCAGATATAGATACTCTTCCAAAGACTTTATCCATGCAGGGCCACATAACAAGTTTACTTTGAAGCCAGCCTTACTAGTTGCACATCATTTGCCACTAATGTTACTCTATTGGTGGGAAGGGAGTGGGTTTAGGTCTCTTTAGCCACCAGAGCTAAGGAGAAGAAGCCCTGTGTAGACTCAAAGTCATGACCTGGAGCTTACACGGGGCTAAGGACTCTCTCCTTTCCCCTAGGTCACAGCATTCTGTAGTGGCCAATTGCCAAGCACCACCACTGTCACATGGAAGGGAAGTGAGTTGCATATTCCCCTATACATTGAAGTACTGTGTAAATGTGAGCATATGCAGGCTGGGGTGGCCTGGCTTTAAAGTGAACCTGTTTCATAGTTTACATAGTTGCGAGGAAACTTGACTAAATGTACCTTCCCTACACTCCTGTACCTCCCTATGTCTACCACTGAAGTTCCACAAAGTTTAGATATTTTAATTCTAACTGTATTTAGCTGTTTATTTTTTAGGTTCTGCACATTTTCATCATTTTCATTGCAGATTTTTCCGTTTTACACATTGTGTATATCCCTGTATTCAGCAACGCTATTGCACTCTCAAAGCGTATACAAAAGTAGATGGTGGGTTTATTGCAACGATTCAATCATCTGCACATACTGTAGTGAAGAATATTGCACGTTTTAAAGAATGTGAAAGTTTTTGCCTCTGGGGTAGGCGTAAATACAGTGAGGAAATGGAATCTCTCGGGTCTAATTATAGGTTTCAGCAGTCATTGTAGACAGGTAATGCAGTCTTAGACCCTTACACCTTGGTAAATGTCCACCGGCTGGCACAGAAGTAATTATTCCTTTACTGTATTCTTCCTCACCAAACTATGGGATATTGTACATGATTAATGGCATTGTGTTTTACATTGAGTTGCATTGGCTCACCCTTCACTTAACGTGCTTAAAATCTATATATATATTACTCGTGCATACATAAAGTGCTGTGATCCATGTGACAGGACAACTGTTTTAAAGTCATATATTTCGTTTTGCAGAAGGGATATATGAGGTAAACCTCCAATTTTTTTTATTATATTTTAATAGGGCAGCTATCTTTTTTTTGTATTTAAGAGGGCAAAGTGGGGCAAAGTGTTGGGATGGGAATGCAGGAGAAGTTTATGAGAACCCTTTAGAGAGGACATTGCCTGGTCAGGTTCATGCAGACACCTAGTAGAGGTAAAGAGGTGTTGCATTGGATTGGTTGCTTGGTGCATGTTGTATCACCGAATGCTACAGGTGGATCTCTGAGCATGGCAAAGGCTTTTGTTGTGGCACGCAATCGGGCAGAATTTGGGGGAAAACAACATTAAAGCTCCTGCATGCTCCATGTAGCTGACAAGCTGTGTTTTAACTTGCAAAGGAACTTTTTTTTTGTACATGTATTGAAGGCATATTCAATTCATTTGCTGTTTATGACATCAGTGAACTATCCCACACAAGCAGGACTCTCTCTGGTTAAGCACTTTCTACATTTGACCTTTTTTTTTTGTGAAGGCTTTTCAGTGTTAATTGCCCATGGTTAGACGTGAAAGGCCGACAGTTGCTTTTGTCTGCAGTCTTTGGATTTTCTTGGCTTTTAGTTCAGAAGTTTGTAGTAGGGTATTGTACCGTGTCAACCATCGATTTGATGTAGAAAGTTTGGAGTTTAAGTGATGCCCTTTATTGGCTAACTTAAATTATTAATGATGTGAGAATTTTGGGATGACTTGAATCACTTCTTTTATACTATTTTTTTTTTTTTTTACAATGGTTCTGAAACCCACGTGTTTATATACATTGTTACAAGGAGAAGCAATGAAATCTAACCATTCTAAGTAACCACCTATTTTTTTTCTTGACATAATTGGGTAGTAAGGCCTTGTTCACACCAAATGCAGAGCAGATCTGCATGAGTTTCTGCACACGCAGTGCAGTGGGTTGTGCTGCGTTTTGTGCCGTGTTTTGATGCGTTCCGGGCCGTTGTTCGTAAAAAAAAAATTTCGTTTAAAATGGGCTTTCAGTGCGTTCCAGGACATTTGCATGCGTTTTTTATGCGTTCCAGAGCAGGTAAAATAGGGCCTGCTGCAGTTTTTTTACCTGCTCTGGAACGGAACGCTGCGATGTGAACTAGAGCCCAAAATACCATTGGAATAAATTGGACGCAGTTTTGCTCCAGTCTGTAACTTCTCTGCTCCTGGAATGCGCTTGGTGTGAACAAGACCTAAATGACTCGGATATAAGTTCTTCGGTTAGTCCTCGCCCTAAAAAAGTGTCCTTTTGAAATGTCCATATACTAGAGAAGCAATGAAATACATTATTCTTAACACGGATAGTAACAGTTAGTGTAAGTTTTAAAATTTGACAACACATCTTCAGATTGTGGTTATTAAAATGTGTCAAGGACTGGAAAGGTCACGTGTAAATCCGAACTAAAGGCACTAAATTAACTGCACAATTTTAAATCTTTTAAGGTCGGCTAACATGTTATTCAAACTGCAGCCCCCAGCAATCGTATAGAACAGCCTCTTAAGGGGGGAATGCATGCGCACTTGATCATCAGTTTTGACATCATGGAGATGTGGGAAAAGCGATCCACATTGTGTGAGGATGACTCAGTTGCGGCCTCTCGCCATAGCAGCCATGACATCAATGATCATTAAACTGAAAATCACTGAACCAGCAGGAAGAGGCTGTTAGAGGAGCACAGATCTTAAATACAATACCCCCCTCCATAGCAAGCACATACTCTTCTTCTTATCTTTGCACCCCTGCCACTACATTTAGAAACCTGGAGAAAAGAGTAATTGCCAGTATTTCTGGGTATGAAGGAGCATGTCGGGCCTTGCCAGCTCCTCTCCTCCTCCAATCACAGACTGTAATTTTGTAAATGGAGGATAGTGAAGTGGGGAGGATGATGAGACCGGAATGATGTACAGCTCAGGTCACATCTCTCCTTCTCTTCAGGGCTGGGAAGCTGGGCGTTCCGTGCAAGGGCATGCTGCAAGGTAAGATTTTTATACTTTGCAACTGCCCTTTGCACATAACACCCAGCTTTTTAATGATGTTTTACACAACCAGTGCTTTGTGTAAATGTATCTTTTTGCCCAGAGTGTGGCTTTATAACTATGAGGTGAGTGAAAAGCAATCACCTCATAGTTCTCCTTTTTAAGGGCTAGTTCACACCAGCCCCAGTGCGTTCTGGCAGAACGCAGACATTGATGTGCCACGCATTCTGATGCAGGCGATCGCACTGAGACACTGGATCGCATCCCGTCTGGCTGACTACGTCCTGGGGTGGAAGGGGGCGTGGCGACGCATTGAAGTCATGACACTGCAGCCACACACCCTCCCGCCCCGGAACGTAGTGAGCCAGCCAGGATGCGATCCGGTGTGTTCCGGCATCGAATCGTACCAGAAAGCACTGGGGCTGGTGTGAACAAGTCCTATAAGAGAACTAAAAGCCAAACCTTCTTTTTTTTTTTTTTTGGCTTTAGTTCTCTTTTGGGACACAGGAGTAGATTTACTAATATGCTGACAGTGCAGAGCCACACTGCAGCCGGGAAAGATCCCGACATTATTGTGGGGGTCCACCCCAATCATTGCCTGAGTGACGGCTGTCCCTGGCTCTCTAGAACCAGAGCCAGCTGTGCCCGCACCCTCCCTTGTCCGCCCCTCCGATGAGGAATAGAGAGAGTGGAGGGGAGAATCCCTGCAGGGAATAGTGACTGACAGTCACCGCTCTGCAGGCGAGAAGACTCTGAGGTGCAGTGTGAAGACTCTGAGGTGAGCTATCGGGGCATTGTGATCACTCGATCTATAAAGCTGACATCTGCAGTGTCACACTCCACCTCAAACTATTGGGAAGAGTAAAGTACATTTTACTCTCCCAATAGTTCTCCTTTAAGGTTGAGACCAAAATGTACGAAATACGAGGTTTACATTCACTTTAATCCTGTTCAGTCACTGGTCCAGAATAGAGCTACCAGAATATTATAAATGGTATAAAATACTTAGTCCTTGCTGTACCAAAACTGGTGTGAGTAACAGAGCTGTTAAGAAACAAAAGCTGATGCCTTGCCCTGCCTAGGCTTATTCCAGTCTGTTCCTGCATCTGTAAACATGCCAATTGTTTTATATTTCTGTTTTCGGAGCAGTGAACTCACACAGTACAAGGAGAAATGGAGGCAGAGGAGTGACGATTACCCTGCAGGTGGTGGGATTCCACACGCCTGATAGCATGGGAAAATTCTGTACAGAATATACAGCAGACAAAGGGAGTGCTAGTGTAACAACTCCTAATCTGACATGTTTTCTTGTCTTCTGAATGGTTTATGAACTTTTCCCCCGACTGCACTTCGTTACAGTTTACCGTTTTTTATATCTGCTATCTGTGTGTCTGTACAGCTTAGGGTGTGGAATGGCCTGTGCTATTTCCTTCTTTTTCCTTCTATGTTAAAGAAAAACTCCGGGCAAAGATGAGCAATTGATCTTTTTTGAATGCTTTGTTAGAAAGAAAAACAATACCTCAGCTAAAGATTGACTTTTGTAGAGCAGATAGGGCCACCCGCAGATGGAATTTTGGCTGATTCAGCAGGAAATTAAATCCGTGTTTCCCCAGCTTTTAATTTTCTTGGTTACAGGCGAGTGTGCAGTGGGCAAAATGGCTACCCCAAGCATTTGTATAATTCTAGGTTATACTTGTTACTTATTTTATTTATTACAGGTATTTAGTAGGGCCATCAATTTACACAGCGCTTCATATACTACACATTCACATCAGTCCCTGCGCTCAAGGAGCTTACAATCTAAGGTCCCTATCTCGCATGCATACACACTCTAGGGCCAATTTAGCAGTAGCCCTTTAACCTTCCAGCATGTCTTGAGTGTGGGAGGAAACCAGAGTACTCAAAGGAAACCCATTCAAGCACAAGGAGAATATGCAAACCCAACATGCAGTGGCTAGGCCCACTGCAAGGGTTAGGAACATTTTTGGCCCGAGTTACGCTTTATCGTCTAGCGAAGAGCGCAGATCATACAGGAACATCCTACTTCTTCTGGCATGGCCATGAACCACTCAGCACCTTAAGGCAATACCATTTCAGGAGTTGGCAGAGTGTAAGATGTTGCTCTGAAATTATTATATGATAGCCATGGCATTCCCTCCAGAGAGCAGCTCAGAGGGGTGCTGACAATGAGCATATTATTTAGTGGCTGCGAATTTAGACAAGTGCATGTGAGAACAAATCGACAACATTCCTATGTAGCTGCTTCAAGAAGTGGTTGTAGAGAGGTTTACAATGTAAGTATTGTGTATCTTTAGGGTGCATTTTAAGTTCTAGTTTTGTTTTCTTGTGTATGTAAACCCTAAAAAGCTACTTTTTATTTTCTTTCCTTCTATATGTTCAAGAAGTGCAAAAAAAAAAGATACCGGTTGATCCTGCCAGAAATGTAGTGTGCTGGTAACATCCTGTGCTCTCTGCCACTGCTGCACTGTTATCAGTTAACAGTGTTATTGTCCCTGCCAAGTTCTGTCTGTAGACTACAGAACTACCCCTTTATATTATGGAGATGAAGAGACTCCTAAGGGTGCCCACACACCTTACGATAATCGTAGGAAATCCCGCGATCGTACGATTATCGTAAGGTATGTGGAAGCCGTGCGACCTCTACTACTGTAAGGTGGCACGACTTTTAACTTACGAACATGTTTGAAAACCCGCCGAGCATCGTATGATGTTCGGCGGGTGTGTAGCATGTTCGTAAGATAAAAGCCGGACGGGCCGGTGTGCGCATGCGCTTTCGGCATTGCGGTCATCAGAAAGCCCACCCCTCAGGGGGGGCGCGGCTTGCGATCATCGCAAGTACGATCTGCCTGTCCAAGATAGGCAGATTGCACTTTTTTTTTTTTTTTTTAAGTACCTTACAACCATCGCAAGACAAAAGTATTGCGATGGTTGTAAGGTGTGTGCCCAGCATAACACACTTCCTTGTCCTAGAGTGAAAACACTGCTTCTCCATACATACAGTACAGGAACTGAGCGTTGTCACCCTAGGACAGGAAGTGTGTAACTGGTAGGATCACCAGGCAAAATAAAAGGGGGAAAAAAGCCTGACTAAAGAAAACCAACACATCCAGCACATCTACGTACTGACAAGCTACAATATATAATATAAATGTTCTTGGATTTCCATATGCTTTAACAATTGTTAAATAAGATCTCATTGCCATGGGGAGTGTGACAAACTCGTACAGTTGATTGTACGCTATGAAAGTTCTTCACAGTTCCTCTTCACTATACAATCAGTAAGGAGGACACGGAATCTGCATTTTTAATGGGCTAATCTGGTTACCACTATGTACATAAATGATTCCACATTATTATATATATAGAGACATGTCACATATATTTTAAACTTTAACTTCTATTGATGTTTCACATTATTTATCCAATAACATGGCTGCTTATCTGTGTGTGCATAATAAACCAAATCATCCTTTTTCTTCTTGTCTGTAGATCATCCTTGATTTTGGACATAGTCTCCATGTAGAGGTAAGGAATGATGCCGTCTTCCAGAAGGGCTGGTCTAAGCTTATTCACAAGCTGTGGGGTGATCAATACGTCTGCATGCCTGCCAGGCAACCAGCTTTTTCAGGAGGCAACTATGGCAGCTTTTGTTTCTGTTTATGAATGCTTTCATTTAACCTACTGGATAAACATGTTTTTATTTTTATTCTGGCCTTTTCTAAACCTTTCTGTATGAACTCTGACTATAGGGATTTTGTCCCTGCTGGTTAAATCTCTATATTTGCCTGTACTAGGGCCCATTCACAGTAGCCTGTCCACTGAAATGCTGCGTTTCAGTGGTCAGGCTAGTGCGTAGCGACACCTTCGGTAGTGCACGTTGTATGGCATACTGCCGGAGCTGTCACTGTTTACTTTTTTTTCTTTTTTAAACTTTATGTGGAGTGTACAATGTGTTCACTGCATTTAGGGGTGCAGGGACATGGGATGGGATCCAGTGTGCTGTGATAAAAAGCAGCATGTTAGCGTTTTATCGCAGCGCCCAGTCCATCACATCTACGTTGGGACACATACAATTGTTTTCTCTGTGACCTGTGTTGATCCAGTGTGGTACAGCAGCTCAGGTCAGCACTAGATGTGTGACTGGGCCCTTAGACTTCTTCTGAACGGCTATCAGGAAGAGCCAGCTGAAGTATCTGTTGATTTTATCTCCATGTTGCAGTATTGCCACTCTATAGCTAGCCATACACTTCTCGAATTTTAGACAATGCTTGCTGAATTGGCAATTTTTCAATCAACTTTTGTCACAATTCTCGGCCAAGCAAAGCCTGGATCTAATCCGATGTAGGCGGTGTTCAGGTATTCCACAGCTGTTGGAGCTGCTGAATACAATAGCTGCCAGAAGGCATGGGGGATTTGATGGATTTCTGTCTAAACAGTCTGTATGGCCGGCTTAAGCTCACTTGGCCTGTACAGTCATGTGACGAGTCTACACAGACAGCGTGAGAGCTCTGCCCACAAGGAATCGTATTAAAGGCGAATGAATTAAACATTCTTAATTGGGCATAATGGCAATGTTTACTGGACAGCATTAGCAGGTTATTGGGCAATTTTTTTTAATTTTTAAAATTTTTTTTACCTGTTGCCAAAAGTTTCTCTTTAAAAACGGTCACCATATTTAAAAAATGTTGTCACACACAGCACTATATGATGAGCCAATATGTTACTTTGCGGAGAGATTTCCAGGGGCTGGGCCCGCACCTTGTCACGGTTACAGGTCAGCTCTCAATAAATCATGTTTACACGTAAACATGATTAATTTGCCTCTGAGATTTTCTACACATGAGCACCATCTGCTGGCCAAGAGAGTTACAATTCTCTGTTTTTCTTTTGGCTTGTTCAGCGTTTAGGGCCATTTCACACTGTACGTAAGCGGTACAGTGCATTTTACTTGAGTCACTGTTCATCCACATTGAAGGGGTGCTTTGCTGGAAACCGCAACAAAATCCAGCAAAAAGGCCTTTCATCACACACCTCACACCAAAATGCAGAGGAGTGAAATGGGCTCATAAATTATTACAGTGCAAGGAGCAACTGTTTTTTTTTAAAGGAAGAACAAAAAACAAAATAATGTGGGCAGAGAATGCAAATGAAAAAATGATAGGGGGCATAGATACACATTGTCACCATGTCTGCCCTGATGAAGGGACACTGTGTGGTTCCGAAACGTTGGCTTTTGTGACATTCTTCTTTAATAAAAAGAACTTTTGGATTTATTTCATCTCACGAGTGCTGGTGATCTTCATTGTTATCTACGGGCATACATACACAACGGCCATTCAGAGAAAGAGAACACCTAATTGGTTTCGCGCGCGCACGCAATTTTAAGGCTTGACATGTTTAGTGTCTTTTTACCCGACGTGACCCCGTCTTTTATATTTTACCAAAAAAAATTGGGTAATAATAAATGTTTTATCATTTAATATACTGAATACTGAAAAATGGCCTGGATGGGAAGGGGGTTTAACACCGTGGATGTCAACTGGTTAATGAATACAAAGCGGTCTCTGATTGGGGCGAGGGGCAGAGGATGATGTCACAAAAATACTGGGTGTTCTCTGAATGGCCGCTATGCCGTGTGAGTAAGTGACACCCTGCATTTTCAGAGCAGAGGTGAAGCCACTCAGCCCAGTGCCAGAGGACCCAGAAGATCACTGTGAAACACTGTGGTACCTTCAGCTGCTACAGTGATTTACCGGATCCCCATGAGCCGAGCAGATGTATCATAAATCTACTTCTATTGAGCCAGGCTGGACCAGTGTAAGTATTCAGAACACTTTTATACCTGGAGTTCAGCTTTAAGTAGAAACACATACTTGATTCACTGTGAAGGTAG